TTTAAGGGTGGTCTTTTGAATCTGGCGGTCAGCGTACGATGGGCTGCCTACCTTGCAGGCGAGCCGTTGCAAGAAAGACAGGCGTAACTCACTTAAAATGGCCCGACGGCGTGAAATTTCGACGGAGAGATCGAAAGAGGATGCTGTAGGACTAATCCCAATCATTTCTAGCGATTTTTAAATTTTTCATTTTTGGCCAAATTTACAAAGGCCTTTGTAATTTTAGCGAAAAGTGATGGGTCTGGATTTCGACGGAAAAGTGGTCCAATCGACAGGGGTGAACCAGGGGACCACAAAACTACCTTTGGTTCCGTCAGAAACAACCCCTTTCCACACGAACTTGAGTTTTAAGTGGTGGTCTTTCAAACTGAGCTTCCTAAGGCGAACAAGCTAAAGTAACAGGAATAAACTCTGCTGTAGAGGGTCGGCTGCATGATGTGTATTTACGTGGAGCAAGTGAAAGGGGAGTCTGCTCGACCAATCCAAACCAATGCCAGCCTGCATTTTGACAGGGGAGGATTGAAATCTTCAGGGAAGGACCAAGGCACCACAAAATCAATTAAAAATCTAACTTTGATGCACACCAAAGGGAGCTTCTCATAGAGTCTGAACAGAGACAAATTGGACCAGCTCTTGTAACTTTTATTCCAACTCACCTGTACTTTCAGGAAAAATGGCTCCATAGACTTCTTTGCTCACGTGAAGAACATTTCTGGCCGTGTTCCTGCAATCATATTAAATAGTACTTTTAGCGCTATGTTTACTTTTATTTATTACTTAACAATCATAACTTAATAAAGCAACCCCGTAAAGCTGGAATGAAGAAGAATACAGGCAACACGAAAAAGGGAGTCCCTATGTTGAAGCATAGCGCTTTTCCGCTTTCATCTTCCCCGCTATCTTTTGCATTTCAGCTTTACCGGAATACTTTATTCACCACAGTAATTATTTCTGAGCGGAAAAAGACTTCCACAGAAAGAGACACCTTAATGAATTTGAAAAAGTTACTGTAATCCGTATTGTATTGAGAGGGGACTCTTTAACCACCTCCCTCAGGAAATCAAGAATGTCAAACATGGAAAAAGATTTAGAGCTGTGCTGAAGAGGTGTTTACTAGCCCGACAAAATAGAGGACTTTTTCAACAATGATTTTGCCAGCTTCAAATGGTACATTGTGTCATGTATTTTAACTTGTAATATGCTCTCTGTCAAAGCTAGATTACAAATAAAAAAATAATAAAAGAATATTGATAATACAACATACTTTTACATGCCTCTCCCCCCGTACTCTAAATGACCATGGTCTTTAACTAATTTGGCACTGGACTCAAGTAATAAGTGTACATAACATATCCCTCTGTACGTACTGTAGGCTGTGCACATCTCCCAGATAAATTTTCCACAGTTATTAGGAGAGAAGTGGATAGAGCAGATGCAAATTAGCTGTAACGCACATTGATTGTTTGATTGTCATTACTGCATTGCATGTCCAATCTAAGATGCACAATAAGTTGTTCACCCATTTGAAAATTACCTACGACAATATTTAACATACTGCATGGAAGGGAAGAGTGTGCCCATTCAACACCTTTTCAACAAAGCTTACACTGAGCCAAGTTTAAATAACGGGCATCATTTACTCTGCCTCCAAAAATATCTAAGACTGGAGCACCACTAACCTCTTACAATGACCGGAACAGAACCAACAAGCACTATCCCTTGCTATTAATATCAAAAAGCCTTCCCCCACAGCCTCCCAAAATATAATATTATCATAGCAAGTCAGATATTTATCAACGTCGATCGGAATATCAAAGCTGGAACTGGAACGTCAATCGGCAAATTTTATCAAAACTGGATAACTAGAACCGGCAATATTTATCAAAACGAGAAAATTTTACCTTCGGGTAGAGACAGGCACTAGGGACTTTCTGGAAACGACACTGGCCACCCTAAAATTCTGCCTAGAATACTATGATAAATTTGGGTGTTTATTTACGTTTCCATAAAGGCGCGGCGGGGAGCGGGTAGGGGTGGGGGCCGGAGCGGAGGGCGGCCTGGCGCCGGGAGCACGCTACCGGCTTCATCCTGGCGTCGAATTGGTTGCCTAACCAACGGGCGGCAAAAAAAAACAAGGAGGAAAGAAAACACAAAATTAATTTTGTGTGAATACTGGTACTCGTTCTTT